GAGAGAGAGAGAGGGAGAATATAAAACAGTTATGTAAAATGCCGAGTGATGAAATTAATAAATAAACTAGCAGAGGTCAAACCATTAATAAATAAATGTGGAGAACACTTGAGCATGATGCTTTAATATTGAAACAATTTTTGATCTTCCGAAAACTAATTTGAATATCTTATTACACTTATTTTGATGATTTTTAGATTTTTATTTGATCAAAATTATTAAATACTTCAGCAAAACTATTCTCTCCACGTACAGACTAAATAATTTTGTTAGCCCATCAAAATAATTATATATGATATTAAAATATAATAATAATATTGCAAAACTTTTGATATACCAACAACCAACTTGAGATCATATTATAATTATTGAGTCCCCACAATATTAATTTCTGAGATTTGTATTCAAATTTTTATATATTTTTACATACTAGCAAAATTATTCTTTCTGCGCCTGATTCAATTTTTCTATACTTCAACATAACTGTATCTTCCGTACTTAAGAGATTAAGAGGAATGAAGATAATGAAAATAAACTAAGTACAGTACGATAATACTGCGATGATAAAATTTTTCAAAATACAAGAAAGCTATTATTTCACCTAGAAATTAAATACGCGACGAATAATATATTCTTACCGGGACATTTGACTTCCGCATCAGCCACCTTGACGATGGTGATCGGTAAATAACATGCGAGGAAACTCAAAAAGATGACCAGTACCATCTTTGTAATCCTCCACTCGCTACGCTTCTGCTTGAGCTCCCTGATATCTCTTCCGGGGGTGTGAGGCGATTTTATCGTCGGTCCGGCGTGTTTTCGCATTCGCGATTCTGATCTGCGACATTGATTAAGATCGATTAATATAATAATAAAAAAATGATAGCAAAATTATTTCGAAACATAAATATCGGATATGTTAATTACTTGTGCACCACCCAGAATATCTTGGCATAACAGCCGACGATCACTACACAGGGTATTAGGAACCCCATGACGAAAAGGAATGTCTTGGACGTGCGACCGTAACGATCTTTGATGATGGAACAAGTTTCCAGATTGGAATCGTAATCGAACTTACCTGATGAGGTAAATAAGTAATAAATAATAAATAATAATAAAATGTAACAAAAATATGTAAAATGTAAGTGTGCAAAGTTTTAACTTCTTATCTTTAAGACAGAGAAATTATCTTTATATCAGTATCAATATTAAAAACTTAATCTTAGTAGCCCTTACTAAATATTCTGTTAAAAAATAAGTTAATTAACATTTTTGTTAATTCTTTGCGACTTTAACTTTCTTATTGAGATTTCTTTATTAAAAAAATTTCTTTCTCCGATAATAAATAATTAAACAATAATTAAAATGGCTTACCCCACACTTCCATCAGCGTAGGTATTTGCATCCCGTAAGAAAATAACCAGCAAAAGATTATCATCGAGGCTATCCAAAATTTCTTGTAAACCTTGCTATAGATAGCGTGATGTGCTATCATAATATACCTACAAAACCAACAATTTTAATTTCGTATTTTATCTTAAGCTTATTGCATATCACTCCTATTTCTTTGATTTGAATCAAGAAAGAATATTTTTACTCGATTAAATATGGCAAATAACAAAATTAGGAAAAAGATTAAAAGAACACATACCTATTGATAGTGATAGCTGCGATAGATAAGAGACTGACCCCCACATTTCCGTATCGTAAAAAGGGCACAAGAACGCAGAAAAAATGTATGTCCGCCCAACTGGCATTGACGAACCTGATGGAATCGAATGGGAGCACCAGCAGGCAAAATACAAAGTCTGCGATGCACAAACTGTTTCGATGAAACGAAATAACTTCAGTTTAATATAAATATTGGAGAAATTCGCATTTTAATATTTTCAAAATGTTAGAATTTAGAAATTAATTTTTTTATACTAGAATTAATAAAATAATCGCGAATATATAATAATGATTCGTACTTAAAAACAAATTTTGCGATAAGATTGAAAAATGTTTGGGATTATATTAATTTTTTTGAGTATAACAAATTCTATCTGTCATGTAAGAAATTTTGAAGTTAAATAAATACAATTTTGTCATACCTTATGATAAAGGCTGCCGCGACGTTGCGAACTTTGGGATATTTACATAAAGCAACGATCGTTAATAGATTACCAGTTAGACCAATAATCATGATGATGATCGCCACCACTGCCGCAAAAGTCCTCAAAGGCTTTGGAAATCTGATAAATAAAGCGATTGTAAAAATATTTGATTAATTTCTTTTCTTCTCTTATCCGCTTATTAATAAATAATTTTAAAAATGTTAAAAACAATTTTCCGAACTGAGTTTCAAAATTAAGATAATACATATACGTCCAAAAATTTGATTAATTTGAAATAGAAATTAACAGTATTATTTCAAATTTAAAAAATTCACACAACTAATTTACAATTTACTTAAATATCGAAAATAATGATACTTAAGTTTAGATGAAGATGATTTTAAAGCAGCCAAAGAAAATACATGTTACTAGAATATTTCTTAAATTCCTTCTCTTATCCGCTTATCAGGCAAGTAATTTAAAAGTAATAACAAAATGTAAAAACAATTTTCCGAACTGAGTTTAAAATTAAAATAATGCAAATAATGCACATAATACACATTCAAAAATTTCATTCAGTTTGAAATAAAAATTAACATTATTTCGAATTTAAAAAAATTCACATAATTAATTTATATAATTAATTTACATAATTTATTTATTCGAAAATTATGGTATCTTTGTTCATGCGAAGACAATTCTAAAGCAACAAAGAAGATATGATTAGAATTTTGGCAATTTTACGATGATTATGCTTCAAAAAAATACCTCGATAATTCTTCATCGACGATAGTGCTGTGCGTGGCATTGTCCATGACGCGAGACAACCATGCCGTGCCGTCCATTATACCAGCTGTGCCAAAGGTATCGAAGCTCTGGTCCAAGGATTCCATTATTTCGGCCTCGACCCGACCTCGAAAGCCTGCGACATTCACGAGCGGAAGAACGGAATTAAATATATTCTACGTGCATTTTCTTTAACGGATGACTAAAGTCACAGCACGCGAAGACTTTGGCGTACAAAAAACGAAAATAAAAGGATATCCCGACTGTATATCGTTATCTTACTTCTCCAATGTTTAATCTTAATCTTGATTTAATTTGGTCTTTGTCTTTTCCTAATTTTTAGAATTAGAAAAGATAGAAAGTAAGATTCAATTAAAATATTAAAATTAATATACGTTAATAGAAGTAAATATTAATTTACCACGCTATTTGTCGCTCTGTTTTGATTATTAGATGACAGCACGGTCAAATTATATTAATACTACTGTTTTTTGTGATCGGTGATGATCAGAGCAACATTGTGTTGCGACATCGCGGCACGAAAGAGGCAAACTTGGAATTTCCATGCGGAGGAAACCGCGATCTAAAATTCCGGTTCTCGCATTTGTTCAAAGTGATCTGACGCAAAACGGATGCGACAACGCATTTTGTTTGTGTTGAAATGTATATTTCCTGAATTACAACAGAGATCAAAACGTTCACGTTGCGGCGGATTAAAATCATCACAGAAAAAATAATTTTGTTGAAGTATCTAAAAGTTTGATCAAATACTGATCTGAAAATAATTTTGTCGAATTACATTAAATGATTATGTAGCATGTTCAAATTAATTGCTAGAATTTCAAAAATTTTTGTAATATTATTATCATGATTAATTATAAAATTTCGTAATTGTTTGTCCTACATAATTACTTTCATATTTGTATTTGGCCAAATTTTTAGATACTTTAGCAAAATCCGCTCTTTCCGTGCGAAGTGTCATTCGTTTCACTCATTATTTCATCATTAAGAATGCGAAAACTAAAATTACTATAAAAAAATAAAATTAAAAACATTATTACAAGGATTTATATCAGATATATTAAAAACTAAAGTTTATTAAAAATCCCTTGAACAAAAAGGATTTTAAGATTATTAGTAGACTTAATTGTAATTAAAACATTCAATAACATATACTTTATGCATACACATTTATTTTAGACATAAATTTCTCCTTGCTCCATTTTAACGTGCAGCATTTTTTTCTATTTCAAAAGAATATATCATATCAGCTTCTAGAGTTGCTGAAGATTAAGTGAGGAACCCGCGAAAGCGATTGTCTGAAGACGCGTGGGTCGTTTGACATTTGCGTTATGCAAATTCCGCGCGTGCGATTCTGCGCGTTAAAATAATTCCCCGGCGTAGAACAATGGCCGGAGAACAATCTACGGTTAAAAAGGCAGACCGTAAGAATTTATTATTATTTATGGGCTCGTGACGAAGGGCGCCACCGACGGAAATGGGCCGTCCGGCGAATTTACCAAGGATAATACGAGGCTCTCGCGACGAATGATATCGCACTAATTCTGTATTTTTCAACGCACTCGGCACTGGTATCATCCGATCCAGTCCAGAAAATATTTCATTCGCGATTAACGATATTTCCCCAGAATTACGATTTATTGCGAAAAGTATATATAGTATTTACGATATCCAATACAGCTCACTTAAAGTTAATGGTACAAACTTTCAATAATCAAAATTCCACCAACCTATTTCTCGCTATGATTATATTTGTTCCACACGATGTTTTTTTGACAATTAGAAAGATCGTTAATGATCGCCCAGAGGAAGTTGTAGAAAGTTATTTTTAATTACAAACGTATATTAATTAAGGCGAAACAGGTTTCCTATTTGGAAGATACGGATGTAATTATCGACTGACGTTTCGATACCTATGTCGAAATGCTACTCGTTGTCTTCCACGAATTCGAGAAGTCACGTATCGATTATATACGTTTAAGAATTTATAAGTCATAGCATTTTATCTCTTTTTCTTATTCTCTCCATCTTCAGATTACAGTCACGCTAAATGACTGCATTTATTAATGACTGCGAATCACCGGTGGGTGAGTCATTTATGTTATTGAAACATGTATAACGATACTCGATATTACAAATACGCAATACGAACACATTAACTACTTGTAATCTGAGTAATTGCTCCTAAATGCTAATATTATGGTTTATTACGTTTTTTCAGAAATTGTCTACGCGAAAAGAACAGTAAGCTACAACAGTTTTGCTAAAATATCTATAAATTTATTCAAATAAATCTAAAAATAATTTTATTGAATCAATAAAATAATTATGTAACGTTTAAGTTGATTGCTAGTATCAAGAATTTATTATTATTATGCTTAAGCATTCTAATATTTTAATGGCGCAACAAAATTATTTTCAAATTTGTATTTAATTTAAATTTTTACATATTGCAACAAAACATTACATCCTGTAATGTTAACTTAAATTAATTTCGCATTAATTTCACATTAATATTACATAATTATAATCTAAATGTTTTATATTATATATCCATTTTCAAAACATTTGTCAACAGGCCTATGAAAGAAACTTCTTGGCAAATACAGATGTTCAATTTCGCAATGGGTGAAATTGCCATTGAAGAATCGCGAATAACCCATTTATCGATTAGCGATAGTGATCTATGTGCAAACGCATAGTTACGAAGGGTGCGTTAGATTTGGTAAACTGGGGTCAAACTGCGGTGCATTAACCCCGATTGAGCTTAATTAAGGGAAATTAACGGACACCCGGTACTAGGCGTCCCCTCGCGACAAAAAAAAAGTGATGAAAGCTACGGAAGACATGGGAACGCGTCAATGCGTCGTTGCTTCATTTTATACATTTTCTCGGAATATTTGATATTATTGTAATATCAAATGCACTGAATACAATTAACATAATTAATCATTATCATCATCATCAATCAAATTGACTGAAAAAAATTAATTGAATATCAAAAAATTAACAATACAAAAAGAATCGATGACATCTAAAATTAATTTTTAAACTTAATGTTTATTATTTTTATATGTATTAAATTTAATATTTGTCACTATTACGGTAACATCACGTTTAAATAAAATCAATGAAAAATCAACATGGTGATATTCTTATCTGTTTTATTTTATTCCATTTGACCGATGAAAATAAAATAAGATCATTTACTTTTATTATTGCTACGAAGAAAATTAAATATTATTAGTCTGTATTATTATCCAATTGTGGTTCAGGTCTGATTAGGTGGCAGGTGTGTAACTTCCAAACGTTTATATCTGTTTGACCATGATATCGGTCCGATAAGCGGCGAAACTAATCGGCCCGTCGTAAACGGAAGAAGATGCGGCGCAAAACCGCGAACATTATTTCTCGTTCTGTGGAAGTCCACGGCGACGAATTGACGTCACCGAATGATTTCCGTGTTAATCATACGGCGAACGGCAATGAATGAGTCAAGTTGAGTCACGGTGAAAGTACCTAGACCGAGTCGACGCGAGTCTCCGATGCGCGTCGTCGTCGATTCCGCGATTCGTTGCACCTCCTCGGTCGAAAGCACGCGTTTAAACCTCGCACGCGGATTTACGTTTATCAGAGGCTTACATCGATGCTTCGTATATATTTCGACTCGCCAATTTATCCTCCTTCATATATAAATTAACGGCGGATAATATGCCGATGCACGTTGCCTTGAAAAGAATTGCTTATTCATAGCTTATTCATCCGTCGAAGGATGCATCTCATGTTTAATTAAGCTAAGGACCTTACAAATTGATTATTCAATTAAAAAGCCGATCGGTTTTAACGACACTATTAGAAGTAAAATTAGAAGTGAATATCACGCTTTGACGGAACGTGACGGTGAAATAAAGCGAGCGAGTAAATTATTGTTTGGTCTCTGCAAAAACGTGCTTTTCTAACGATGTAAACGGTAAATGATGTCGAAATATAAATAAGCAAATGCCGAATGTGCGAAATGATACTGTGATATGTGCACACGCGAGTTGAGAGGCCAGGATCGAGGTTGGAAGCCGATCGAGCCGCGACAACTCTTGTATCCCGCCCACGAGAGCACCACGTGGTGTGAATGTCAAATGTCTGCACGTACGGCACAAAACATGTGTCGTGCTCTATTCATACCGTGCATTTAGTGCTAAATATGCCGGGTGACATTAAAATACGTGCATTGTCGATTCGTTTAAAATGGATCTTCTTACAATTTAATTTTCTCAAGAATTTATTTTTTATTAAGAATTGAATTTTTTTAATCCTTTTTTTTTTCTAATAAGTTATGAAACGTTATTTTATTTTACAAGTTGCAAAGAACGCGACAATTATCTATTTATAAAAAAATATTACTTATTGTTAGACAACTCCGGATTCGGATAATTGTGTCCAATAAGACGTTAAGTGTTTGAAGATCAAGTTTCGCATTAACTTTCGTATACACGACCCAGCTAATTGAATACTACACCATGCGTCATAATTCTCTCCACGTCACGTTTCTAAATTGCCCGCCGGGACCATCGGGTAACTCGCCACGCTTTTTTGCCCAGTTCTCGGCATTGGTCCCACAGGATCGCAGACCAACGCCGCCCTTGAGATTAAGAGGATTCACACGAGTGAAAACCGCGATTACGATTGAATGGAATGATATTTTTTTAGAAATCAATTAATCAACTTGCAATATTCAAGAAACTTTTTTTCTTTTTTCTCATTCAACTTTTTAAAAATATAAGATTTGAGCGATTGAATTTTATGAAAGTCGGTTACGCTTTGTAAAATGACTTTAATCGTTGAATTAATGTACCGTAAAATTAATGTGCTGTAAAAATTGAAAAGGAACATTTTTCTTATATATAGGAGGAAAAATAGACAGGATTAAGAAGATAAATTACAAAGCGTTTCATTATTTACCGATTATCAATTATTCTTATCTCAAATCAGCCATACGTTTGTCGACGATATAGACGATTAAAGAGACAGATGGAAATTCTGACTTTGTTGACTGAAGAATATGATGAGCAAAACAATTAAAATCACTTCAAGATACGTTGGACTAAGAATTGTAATAAGTGTTGTTCAACAATTCTCTTATCGGTTGTCTAATTATTGAATATAAACTTGCAATAGTATTTTGCAGTCTTCTTTGATAGCTGACTAGTACAAAATTGATGTGATATCACTCCAAATGTTTTATATTCTTCTTTTAACTATATCTTCATCTCTTCATTGAGAACTTCACTTTTCAATTTTTAGATTTTCGAAATTTCCACTTGATGTTTCTCCCTTCAAAGGAAAGTGAATCCCGTTTGTTATCATTCACAAAAGAACACTTATTCCAACTGAAGTTATTTCAAATTTACTCGAAATATTATTATTATTTTGAAGTGAACGTGACTCTCTCTCTTCACAGCTGTTTGTATTTTGATTGTCGTGGTCCCGCTTGAGTTCGTACGATACGTAAGTATTTGATCTCGAGCTGTCTTAGAATTTTATTCTTTGGCCTTTGGTTTGCAGGCCGGCGACTCGCGACCGCGATTTCGACTCCGGGGACCGGACCGGATTCGGGGACTACCGGCGCGAACGGTGTTGCTCGGGCACCGTGTCTGCGTCAGCGTCACCGTGAATGGACTGCTGCTTACCCAGCATTCTGTCAGATTGTACACACGCTAGATACGGGCCCCGCGTGAGTAGGGCGATCGCAGGAGGAGGAAGAAAAGATGCGGAAGGTGGGAGAGTTGCGGGGGGGGAGCGGCTCGGGTGTGGGCTCGATGACGAACGTGGCGGTCTGCGGCGATGGCACATCTGCAACCGAGACTGAGAAGGGCGAGGTGGGACACCCGGTTGACCCTTTCGTTGTGACACGTCGAGTCGCTTCTTTTTGAATTGCGCGGAATGTGCTGCAATTGCGATACGTCACGTTCTTTTGTCACGCCGCGTAATTGGGACAAGAATGAATGCAAATGAATTGCGGTCTTGCGACCGATTGGCTACTACTTTATAAAACTTTTTTTTCCCACAAGTATCTTCGGTGACTTAAGGAATGTCGTAGTATAAAAAATATTTGTAATTTTTTTATTTCTGTATTTTTATAATAAAAAGATTTCGATGAGGCTTTAGATTCTTTAAAGTGAATATCTTACTTTGACACAATTTTTATTTCTGTCACTCATGAGTCTCTCGTGAGACAATCTCAATGCAAAGAAGATGGATATATCCGAAAGAAAGAAAAGGCCATCGTGAGACTCGTGAGTCACGCGTGGATATGTATGAGAAGTACATATAAGCAAGAATATTAATAATTGCACCAATGATTACACACTAGGCAAAGTATAAACTTAATACATGATTTATACATCAAAATTATAATACATAAATTTAATAACAAACAAGTTAATTAATTCTCCTTTATTTATTACGTTAATTTTATTTCTTTTATTTATTCTAGAATTTCCAAAAAATGATTCACTGTTTTAAATATGTCAAATAATATAATATTATAATATAATAATAATATAATATTCGTATTAAAATAATATGAATGCAATAAGTTGCCTTAAAAGATAATTATCTTATAATTAACGATAAGCGAAGATAAACTGCGATGAAAGGCGGACGAAAGGCGAAAGGCAAACCGCCAAATTTTTTTTTTTACGAATTTCGCGCAAGAAGAACTCGAGTAACTTACTCGCGGGCAACCGATAAAATCGCCGGCTCTTAATACCACGGACGTGTTTATTGCGTAAGCAACCGAAGAGTACAGCGAGAGTGAATTAGACCTAACGAAGTAGAACCGACCGACGGCATTAATTGGAATGACTAAATCGAACGTCTCGTTAGTTTCACGCTTCATAAAAGCGACCCGCATCCAGCCGCGGCTGTCCGGAATTGATACGGTCGACCGAATATCTCGCTTTTCCAATCTGTATTCTAGACTTATTCTATGTGAGAGAAAATTGGTATATATCATCCGGTACAATGGATCTATTTAGATCAAATATAATATTAATCAATTCAATTTAAGCATTATGATATTAATAATAGCGTTTATGCGCGACGTCCTAGATTTCCCGGATGTTCTTCCGCTATAGATACGCTATATGATAAATCAAAAATATCAATCATCAAAGTAGTTTGACCTACAGAAGTGAAAGATTGATGAATAATTAAATTTTAAGATAAGAATAGGCTGATATTTAATTGAAAAAAAAAAAAATTTGCTTGATATAAAATATGTGACCAATGACAAGAAAGGGTTTTCTTTGAGGGAAAGTAAATTTCAAATTGTTTAGAAAATTATTACTGAAGACTATTATTGAAATATAATACCAGAACATTTTGCGTAAAATTAATTAATTTCTCGTATTTAACGTCTAATTAATTTCTCATATTATTTATAATTATTATTAATATATAATTTAGTGCATATGATTTATCGATATGTGTCTTCGGCTAGTTTTTCTCTTTATAAATTTCAATAATGGAAAAAAATTTCATCAAAATGAAATGCTGTTATCTGTTGCCATAATATATTCTGCTTTGCTGACAATATACTTCAATCGAAGATTTCAATGAACCCCTGGAGCCCGAATAAGCAGCAAACTGGGGAAACGCACTTCCGACTCGCTCGCTTCCGCTCGCGGTCGTTCGTGCGCAGCTGGAGGCTCTCCCCCTCGCGAGCATTACTAACAAAATGCAATTATTTTTAAAAAGGATGTAGGGACGCCACGATTTCCAGGGGACGGTACGCCCCGATTAGACATGTAGATGCTCTACCATAAGTGGCATATCGACGGGCATGGGGCTGGCTGGCACCGTTTAACGCTTTCGCGTTGTCGGTCGTGTACATGCAACGTGTCCCTATTTGCGCAACAAATTGTCTATAATAGGATTGGTGACCCGCGCCCTTATTCGGTGATTATCTGATTTTATTAAACGCAACGCAAATTAATATCTCTTGCATCGCGTTTACGACGTATCGCGTTTGAATTTCTGTTATAATAAATGGAGGAAGTGAAAGAGGAAAAAAATAAGGAAGAGAGAAATGAAATGAATAGGAAGGAAAAAAATGAATAAATAATCAGGAAGTAATATCTTTCAATTTCCGATGATGCCGGACCAATTATTTTCGCAAGAGAAAATTATCTTGAGTCAAAGGAGAAGTTAAATTTGCCGGCGCAAGCGCAGCATTCGCGAAAAGTGCATACTCTTGTGAGATTCTTGCTAATAATTCCGCCAGTCCACTCGCGAATTTTACCGAACCCGTCTCGTTTGCATATCCGTCCGATCCATTAATTCTATTTTCTCTTTTCTATGTCCTCGCCGCTACTTGGATTTGGAAGATAAATTCGAGATAAATGTCACTGTAAAGGGAGGTCTTCTCGTTAGATTTCGTTATCGTGGATACATCATTGACGGTATCAAGAAACTGCAACAAAAACACAGAAACAAAATTTATAGTTTCCTAGAAGAAACCACTCGAGAAAGAGAGACAGAACAAATCTGCAATGCCAAGACCAGGATGAGAAACCGGCAAGAAGAAGAATAAGTCACGGAGACACGGCTAACGTCATCCCGGTTTTAGTGGGAAGAGATCATCACAAAGATCTCGAATCATTACCTGATAATTGCCATCGATGAGTTATATTTTTTGCTTCTGCAAAGGTAAACGCAGCGGTATGAAAGAAAAAAGTAAAAGTTTTAGTTTAAATCCTTTTGTTAAGCAGTTGTGAAAAGAAAAACATGTTAAAATTTTTTTTAATATTTTTTACACTACATTTTTATTTGCTCGTTGCATCTAGTGAAAACATGTGAACCTGATGCGCCCGCATCGGTGATTTGCTATGAAATCATGAACTGACCAGTCGATAGTCTGCAAAAACTATAGATGGTCGCGAGAAATCGGTTCGGACCATAGAAACGTCCGAAAGTTTACGCCCCGACGAAAGAGTTTATCGTTCTCGGGTGGCGAAAATAGATCTCTCTGTTCCTCTCCGACGAAACGGTTGGGAGAAAAAAGAGGCGCTAAGTCCAACATACACACACACACACACACACACACACACACACACACACACACACACACACACACACACACACACACGAC